GGGCTGCAGTGGTGGTTGACTTTCTACAACTTTCTCCCATCTCCTGACTGCATCTCTGGAGCTCAGCCACAGTCATCTTTGGGTTCTTCTGTACCTCTCTCACCAAGGCTCTTCTCCCCTGATAGCTCAGTTTGGCCGGACGGCCAGCTCTAGGAAGGGTTCTGTTCGTCCCAAACGTCTTCCATTTAAGGATTATGGAGGCCACTGTGCTCTTAGGAACCTTAAGTGCAGCAGAAATTCTTTTTTTTTTTGTAACCTTGGCCAGATCTGTGCCTTGCCACAATTCTGTCTCTGAGTTCTTCAGGCAGTTCCTTTGACCTCATGATTCTCATTTGCTTTGACATGCACTGTGAGCTGTAGGGTCTTAGACAGGTGTGTGGCTTTCCTAATCACGTCCAGTCAGTATAATCAAACACAGCTGGACTCAAATGAAGGTGTAGAACCATCTCAGGGATGATCAGAAGAAATGGACAGCACCTAAGTTAAATATATGAGTGTCACAGCAAAGGGTCTGAATACTTATGACCATGTGATATTTCAGTTTTTCTTTTTTAATAAATCTGCTAAAATGTCAAAAATTCTGTGTTTTTCTGTCAATATGGGGTGCTGTGTGTACATTAATGAGGAAAAAAATGAACTTAAATGATTTTAGCATATGGCTGCAATATAACAAAGAGTGAAAAATTTAAGGGGGTCTGAATACTTTCCGTACCCACTGTGGTAAAACAGGTAATGGCACAGACTCGTTTGAACGTCGCACCCCCTTTGATATGTTATGTTTTGATATCCAAGATAGCATTCATCTTTCATATAGTTTCAGATCATGAAAGACAAAATGCATACCAGGATCAATGTTAAATGTTAATGGCCCTGCCATATTTGTCGGCATATTCATAGTCTCATAAATAATTTAATGAAGTGGATGCACTCGAGACAAACCGTCATCAAACGGGAACACCGTTTAACCTGCCTTCAAGTCAAACGTTTATCTGAGGCTCTACCTGATCCACAGGAGCTGATGTACGTACAGACTCACAAGCACAGCTGCATGTTCAAGTGGCTTTTAACTTCCTCCACGTGGGTTGGTTTTGCTCCTGGCAACTTCGAGCAAGCTGCCAACTTTATTCTCTTATTGAAGAGACTCCTTTCACTTCCTAAAGTTAAACCTCAGGAGTTGCGGGCATTTGTGCCACATGAGTGAAGCAGAAAATAATTCCCAAAGCAAGCCACAAGAAACAGGATTCGATGAAAAGCACCAAGCAGCACTGCTGCTGCTTACCTTCAGGAGATCCGTGGAGTATCTCCGCCCTTGCTGCGCTGCTCCTGCGCTTTGGTTCATGTTCCAACACTGTGAGGAGCTTCAGTCGCGTAAAGGGAAACTCAGTCCGTCCGCCGATCGACAATCTGCCGCTGAGAGTGGTTACAGAAAAGCTCTGGCAGAGGACTCACTGAAACTAGTTAATTGGCTCGATGTAAGCTGTCGTCTTGTTTCTCAGCCAATGATGCCTCATGCGCTCACACTGGCTCGCTGGTGCGCCAGCTGTGAGTACGAGCGCGCTGTTTATTTATCCGATATTAGCGCAAAGTTAGTCCTCACTATCCCAGATAAGCAGCAACATAACAGGCTATTAACAAGAGCCCTCAGAGAGCGTGTGTCCCTCCGCCAAGGCGCAACGTTCGACCTTGCAAATTAGCAGAACAACACAAAATGCGTCCTGAAATCCTTGATCCGGATCATCTTTTAAGGCATGATAGGTAGATAAACTGTGCATCATACCCGAATATGTCAGTGTTCTGTCTTCATTATAGGCCAAGTTATGACAGAAAATATGGGTTAAATGAAGTTTTCAATGTTACATTTAAATGGCTGTCCAGAATCCAGATCAGATCTGGATGAATTTTGGTCTGGTGATAGACACTGACACCCTACATGTGTCAAATTTAAAACTAAAAATTAGTTTGATAACTTTTCCCCATGTTAAAGATGGGAATGTGTGTGTGTGATTGTTTAGTTATTTTTATGACACTGACCTTTGATATTTTTCAGCCAAAGTCTTATCACTTGTCTTGGTCCCCACCACTGCCTGTACCACATATGCCAATGATCCATCCAGCTAGTTGTCCGTGATCCTGCTCACCAGCACTCACACAGAACCAAAACATAACTTCCTTGGCTGCCGGACACCAAACACAAATAAAAAGAGTTCTAATCCTCCAAAAAATGTGTTTTTTCCCTCATAAATCTTAAATCGTTATTAGACATGTAATATACTGCAAAGCACTTTTTGTGTTGAAAGATGAGCTATTTGATAAATTGCATAACAGGATCATAAAACAGGAGACAGTTTGTTGCATTGTAAAGTGCATTATGTCTATAAAGCTGCAGCACATGCTGCTGTTGTTTTTATAACCAGTTTTCCCTTCAAGTTTTAACCACATTTACAGTATAAAGCACTTTGCAACTCTTCTGACCTGTGTGCATTAGAAAAATATAGTTTGGTAGAAAGTATGAACATTTATTCAATACACACATACGCCAATAAGAGTAACTGTTGGGAGACATTTGATAGTTTCACACTGCAGTGTTTTACTCTTCTGTTCAGAATTATTACAGACTTCAAAGTAAGCTTTACAGTATAATATGTGAAATGTCATTTTAGGTGCACTCTCACTTTTATAAAGAAGTACAGTTATGTTCTCAGTTTTACAGTGACTATTTCAGTCCAAAGTAAATGAAATATTATAAGCTGTACATCCTAGGGATCACCTTCTGGTGGGATATGGTTATTGTTTAGATTGCTGGTGGATACTAGTGTGGCATATCGCCAGCTCATTCTTGTTAATGTCAATTATATGGGATAAATTGTGAGTTATCATTCAAATTAAAGTAAATTGGACAAAATATTATGTATATTATGACCAAGGGTCATATCATCAACCAAAGATCAGCTAGTATAATGTAAACCAAGTGTTTTTCCTGTGGCAGTAAAGACCTACTCCACGTGAAGCAACATCATTATATGAATGCCCATGGAGATACAGTAGGAGATAGGACATGGGACAGGAACCCCCTGGAGTCTAGAAGCTGGTGGCTGAGTAAAGCCAGCAGTGGGAAGGTGGATCCTTTCAGATGAACCGCCCTCACCATCCTGAAGGTCACAGTGGTGATGAGGATGTGGCGGGCTGTGCAATAATAACATTCATTCATTCATTCATTTTCTACCGCTTAGTCCCTGAACGGGGTCACGGGTGGGGCCGGAGCCAATCCCGGCCGGCAATCGGGCGAAGGCGGGGTACACCCTGGACAGGTCGCCAATCCATCGCAGGGCGCAATAATAACATGCTGCTATAAAACCCCACTGGCTCAAGGATTGAAGGACACACAGAAGATTTATCAGATATGATGATGAAAGAAACTCTGAACAATAGATATGACAGCATGGAAAAGCAGAAGTGACCAAAAGGATTAGTTGGAAGACACAGGAAGTTTATTTAAAACATCAGCTGTTTATTTAAGTGTCATACACCTAAAGATTGCAGCCCGCATGGAGACACTGTACAAGGCACCGTCTAAATTACCTTCAAAGGCAAGAGACAAAACCACAGACAGCAAGTTAATGCATGGCACTGTGCACATGCGCAGAGATACTGGACGAGACTCACCCATCTCAGAAAGTCAAACAAAGCTGACATCCAGGGTGGGAGTAATTACAAAGTCAGTTTGCCACTTTGTTCTTCCTAAGTATCAGGTTGAGTATTAGGCAAAAATGTGCCTTTATTCTCTAAACCTCTGCAGAGCTATGGTTGGCAAACTGCCACCCTAGGGTGCCTTAGGCTGAGTAGCTTTAAGATTTGTCCTTTGGTTTTTTATTGTTCATTTTTATTTCACCTCATAAAAATGAGGCAGGAACTATGGCATACATTTTATATCTACCTGCAGGACACGAAAAAAATTAAAGAAATCTGCTGCTACCATCAAAATACCAAATCCTCTTTAATCTGCTACACAGTGCTAATGACACACGCTATCATGTTTTAGCCTCCAAAGCTAAGAACTTACTCTGTACTGTTTGTATTGTCTGTGTTGTTTCTGTGCTATTGTACAGAGTTAACAATAATCTCCGCCCAGGGCGGAGATTTACTACTGCTCTGATCAGTGCTCCATCTTCAGATGTCACAAGCAATTTCCTGTGTATTTTTCTTGGGCAGATGAGGAGGTTTTGCACATGTCATGTATAGTTTAGTGCTGTAGCTAGTCATGTGCTGTTATTATATGAAAACTTCTAAATGCATTTACATGACCAGCTTTTCTGTCGGTGCTATAATCAAAGCACCAGAGTTGATATTACTGCTGGCAGCAAGTCCAAACCACTGACAGAGTGAAATTACCTGCAAGCTACATTTGACCACAGAGGCATTTTAACATAATTAACCAGAAACATGTTTGGAAGAGATCCCACATCTTGTTGTGATCTGCTACGTGGTGATAGTACAGTGGCTGTCAGCTGTAAACTAAACAACAGCAGTCAGAGTTTGCCCACCCTGCCTGGTGCATGTCAACATCAGTAAGTAAAGGGCTTCTCCTCTGTTAGCATATCACAGAGCACTTTGAAGGCCACTGCTTACCTTCAATGAAAGCAGTTTTAAAGAGTGAGATGAACAATCTTTTGATGTGCAGTATGAGGTAAAGGTAGAGGAGGTGTGAGTTAGTTTGTTGAAACTATGTGGAAATGTGTCGCTGTCCAACAGTAGAAGGGTAAAGTGTCACCAGGAAGTATGGATCTGTACAGCCAGAGTAATAACACAGAGCAAATTGGTGTGAAGTCACAGTGGTGAATGTAATGCTTTTATCTGTGTGACTACACTGGGTGTAAAACATATTTAAGCATCTTAATACTGTATTTTTAAGATGGGAAAGTTAAAAGCCCTGTATCCCTTACTGATTTTCATAATGAAATCGATTCCACTGACAGAGGAGACAACTAGACAGCACTTAGAGAGCGCTAACCTCCCCCAAGCCGTCTCAGTTGCCCCATAATGCCATTAAAACAATTCATGGATCAGGGTGATGATTTGGATCACCAACACAATGTAACAGATTGTTCCATGGGCCATGCCCTACCTCTCCAAAAAATCGCATCAAAATCCATAGTTTTGCAAAGCAGTGTCCAAGTAGGTTCAGC